CTTCGAAAGGTGAGCCTGAGCCGGTAGAGGATACTGTGTTCCTGGGGAAGACCTTGGGCCTTGAGGTGACTGAAGATGATGTGGAGTTGGTGGAGGAGCACAGAACTGAACTCACCACATAAGAACTTCTAGACCTTCAGAAGGTGTTAGATAATGCTCCTAACACCACTCCTTTCTTTCAGCCCATGGACCAGCAAATCATTTCTGACTTCAAGAAACTCTATACCAAAGTACTTTTTGAAAGTTGCTTTGAAGTCACTTCGGAAACAAATTTAACCTCCAGGGAGTTCTGGAAAGACCATTTCAAAATTCTCATCTGCTTGAGGCATATAAACAAAGCCTGGGGAAATGTGTCTTCCAGGACCATGCAGTCAGCATGGAAGAAATTGTTGCCTGACTTTGTGGCAGCCAGGGATTTTGAAGGCTTCGAAAGGTGAGCCTGAGCAGTAGAGGATACTGTGTTCCTGGGGAAGACCTTGGACCTTGAGGTGACTGAAGATGACGTGGAAGAGTTGGTGGAGGAGCACAGAACTGAACTCACCACATAAGAACTTCTAGACCTTCAGAAGGTGTTAGATAATACTCCTAACACCACTCCTCTCTTTCAGCCCATGGACCAGCAGGTCATTTTTGACTTCAAGAAACTCGATACCAAAGTACTTTTTGAAAGTTGCTTTGAAGTCACTTCGGAAACAAATTTAACCCCCAGAGTTTTCTGGAAGGACCATTTCAAAATCCTCATCTGCTTGAGGCATATAGACAAAGCCTGGGGAAATGTGTCTTCCAGGACCATGCAGTCAGCATGGAAGAAATTGCTGCCTGACTTTGTGGCAGCCAGGGATTTTGAAGGCTTCAAAAGGTGAGCCTGAGCCGGTAGAGGATATTGTGTTCCTGGGGAAGACCTTGGGCCTAGAGGTGACTGAAGATGATGTGGAGGAGTTGGTGGAGGAGCACAGAACTGAACTCACCACATAAGAACTTTTAGACCTTCAGAAGGAACAGCAACAGATTGCAGTGGAGGAGCTGTCATCAGAGGAAGAGTAGGGAAGGGATAATGTGCCCATCGCACTTGTCAAGGAAATGTATGCTAAATGGCATGAAGTGTAGGAGTTTGCTGAAAAATACCATCAAGACAAAGCAGTGGCCATCTGTTTCTCTAACATGTACAATGACAGTTTAATGTCTCAATATAGACAAGTGTTAAAATGGAGCCTGAAGGAAACCTCTTTAGACAGGTTTTTAATAAGACAATGAACCAGTAAGCCAGAACAAGGTACATGTATTAGTGGTAAAATAAGACAAAGAAGAGAAACAACACAAGAAAGACAGTTGCCTGACATGGTATTAATATAAAGTGACTCCTTCCAAGCAGTAACATCCTCCCTCCTCTCCTTCACCTCCTGCTTATAATGCCATTAGCTCTCCTCTGACAGGTAAGGGGCAGTTAAATTTTAATATTCATTTTTACATTTCTCTGTGCTGTATAATTTTATACATAGTTTTATGTAGTAGTTAGCACATTATTAACATTATTATACTGTCATTTGGGGTCAGGAACAGATTAATTCTCTTTACATTATTCTTTTTGAGAGAAATTGCTTTGGTTGTAGAATCGACATCTGGAACGAATTAAATTCGAAAACCGAGGTTCCACTGTACTTGTAACATCTACCACATTGCTCCCCTATCTACTATATCACATGCCTTTTCTAAATCCATAAAAGCAACAGAAAATTCCCTACCTCTATCTAAATGCTGTTCGTTTATATGCTTCAATGTAAACACTTGGTCTACGCATCCCCTACCCCCTTCTAAAGCCTCCTTATTCATCTGCAATCCTGCTCTCCATTAATAACCCTACCATACACTTGTTCATCTGCAATCATGCTCTTCAGTAATAACCCTACCATACACTTTACCTGGTATACTCAGTAGGCTTATTTCTCTATAATTTTTACACTCTCTTTTGTCCCTCTTCCCTTTATATAAAGGAACTATGTACACTCTCTACCATACCCTAGGTACCTTTCCCTCTTTCATACATTTATTGAACAAAAGTACCAACCACTCCAAAACTATATCCCCACCTGCTTTTAACATTTCTGTCATGATCCCATCAGTTCTGGTTGCTTTGCCCCCTTTCATTATACCCAATGCCTCACACACCTCCCCCATGCTCACATCTGGCTCTTCTTCACTCCTAAAAGATGTTATACCTCCCTGGCCAATGCATGAAATCACTGCCTCTCTCTCTTCATCAGCATTTAACAGTTCCTCAAAATATTCCTGCCATCTTCCTAATACCTCCAACTCCCCATCTACGAACTAACCTATTCTGTTTTTAACTGTCAAGTCCATTTGTTCCCTAAGCTTTCTTAACCTATTCATCTCACTCCAAAACTTTTTCTTATTCTCAGCAAAATTTGTTAAGAACACCTCTTTCACTCTATCAATCACTCTCCTTTTGTACTCCCTCACTGCTCTCTTCACCTCTCTTTTACTCTCCATATACTCCACTCTTCTTCTTATATCACTTCTGCTTTGTAAAAATCTATCATAAGCAAACGTTTTCTCCCTTATCACATGCTTTACCTCATCATTTCACCAATCACGCCTCTTTCCTTCCACACCCACCCTCCTATATCCACAAACTTTTTCTCTGCATTCTAAAACTGCATTTTTAAAACTATCCCACCTCTTCAACCCCCACACTACCTATAATCTCACTAGCCCACCTTTTCCCCAATAGTTGCTTATATCTTACCCTAACTTCCTCCTCCCTTAGTCTATAAACTTTCACCTCTCTCTTACTTGCTGCTGCCATTTTCCTTTTGCTCCATCTACCTCTTACTCTAACTGCAGCTACAACTAAATAATAATCTGATATATCTGTAGTCCATCCATAAACATGCACATCCTGAAGTCTACCCATAAACATTTTATCCACCAATACATAATCCAACAAACTGCTTTCACTAGATGCTATATAATATCTTGTATACTTATTCATCATCATTTTCTCAAAATGTTTTACTTATTACCAAACCTCTTTCTATACATAGTTCAGTTAAAAGGTCCCCTATTATCATTTACCCCTGGCACTCCAAACTTACCTACCACTCCCTCTACAACTGTTTCTCTCACTTTAGCATTCATGTCGCCTACCACATTTACTCTCTCTCTTGGCTCAAAACTTCTACACTTCTCTCTTCTACAGGTGCATAAACACTTACTATAACCCATTGGTAGACAGCATCCACCCAGGGAAGTACTACTGTCATGCCAAATGGGTGTAAAATGGAAACCTGTATTTGTTTCACACAATGGTAGGAGTGCTGGTTTATTTTTTCTGTTTCATAAACCACAAGATAACAAGTATATCTTGCTACTTTTATTTACAATTAGGTCACTACACATGCATGTACATGTTTCATGTATACACACTCTTCTGAGTTTTCCTTCTTAATAGTTCTAGATATTCTTATTATTTTCCTTTTATCTCCATGGGGAAGTGGAATAAAAATCTTTCCTCCATAAGCCATGCATGTTGTAAAAGTCAACTAAAATGCCGGGAATAATGGGCTAGCAACCCCTTCTCCTGTACAGCTTACTAAAAATAAAAAGAAAACTATAAATTATTGGTATCAAATTATTCAAGTAAATCACCACAATTATTACATTCTGAGGTAAGCACTAAACTTGTATGGATCATACAACACCTGGGAAATGGGAAGTATTCCATCCAAGGGGAGGGCAAGTCCAATTTCTTGAATCAAGAGCCTCTCACTGGCATCAAGGAACCAACCTCCCTCAGGTGGACTAAATAAAATATAAAATAATTTTTGTCCTAGCTCAGTAAATTATCATATAGATCCTGGCAGCCATACACTGTCCTGGAACCAGTTTTGATGATTAAGTAACCATGCCAAAATTTGCTAAAAAAAAAATGCTAAAATTTTCCTTTAGCTTAAAAATGTCTTGATGAGTAAATGGGGGGCAATCAGACTTGATTCAAGTGAAAATTATCATCATGGGGGTGTTAAACCCATAGGGATTATACAGCACCTGTGGGGGGAGGGGGGATGGAAGGCATTCATGCTTAATTAAGGGAACTCGAGCTTAAATCCAATTCCTTAGATCAACGTAAGATTTTGTTCGGATTTTTAACCCCAGAGGATCAGCCAACCAGGATAATCCAAGAAAGGCAATGCATCATCGACAACTGTCTGTCTTATTTCCATTAGGGTCCTCAATCTTGTTCCCCAGGATGCGACCCACACTGGTTGACTAACACCCAGGTACCTACTTGCTTGCTAGGTGAAAGGGACAACAGGTGTAAGGAAACACTCCCAATGTTTCCACCCTTGCTGGGGATCAAACCACAGACACTCTGTGTGTGAAGCGAAAGCATTGCCTACCAGGCCATGGGACACTAAGCCCCTCACCAGCATCGAGAAACCTCCCTTGAGGGGAAGTGAAGAACAGCTTCAATTCCACAGATCAAAAGCATTTCATCAGCATTAAGGGTAAGATGGAAATGATCCTTCAAAGGTAAAAGCTGCCTTGATGCTGGTAAATGAATCTTGGTCCAAGAAATAAAAGAGTTCTCCTCCCCTTTCACATATAATAAAAATTAATTATTATTATACTTCTGGGAAAATGCTGAATCCATAATGAAACATCATATATATTAGTGTTTGATCCAAGGAAGAATATGGTTCCAATTCTTTGGATCAACAGTCGTTCACAGAGAAACAGAGTTGGCTCAAGTCTGGAAGCGCTAAACCTGTACGGGCCAGCACCTTGGGAAATAATTATTACTATTATTATGAAAACTAAGCGCTAAACCCAAAAGCTATAGAAATAAAATGGTAAATTTTGAAGTCGGCCATTCGGTAAAAAAAAAAAAATGCTTATAAAATCAATAATACAGTGTTATCATTATTATGATTACATTCAAAAGCAAGCGCTAAACCCGTCTGGGTCATACAGCATATTACAGTGTGAAAAAAGCCGCCAGTTTGGTTAAAAAAGATGAAAGTGAAGCGAGGAGGTCCATGAGTGTTGTTGTTGTTGTTGGGTTGTAGGGCAGGACGGTCCCAGCACCGTCCAGCAGGCACCACCCAATTTCCCACCGAAACAAGCAAGTTCATTCATGTATACAAAAATACAATTACACAGATTATCACATAGCATCACATGTCTAGAGAGCCTAAGATAACCCCAAAAAAAAGTCAGACAAAGTGACTTATTTTCATTGGGGTCCCACTCTCCCACCTAGCCACTCGCTCTCCCACCCAGACCAATTTGCCTGTTCAAGCTGCCAATGTAAGATAAGATAAGATTTCATTCGGATTTTTAACCTCGGAGGGTTAGCCACCCAGGATAACCCAAGAAAGTCAGTGCGTCATCAAGGACTGTCTAACTTATTTCCATTGGGGTCCTTAATCTTGTCCCCCAGGATGCGACCCACACCAGTCAACTAACACCCAGGTACCTATTTGCTGCTAGGTGAACAGGACAACAGGTGTAAGGAAACGTGTCGAAATGTTTCCACCCGCCGGGAATCGAACCCGGGCCCTCCGTGTGTGAAGCGGGAGCTTTAGCCACCAGGCCACTGAGCTTGGTTAATAGTTTACATGTCTGGTTAATATTATTCATGCCTGGTTAATAGTTTACATGTCTGGTTAATATTATTCATGTTTGGTTAATATTATACATGCCCTACCAATATTTATCACGTCCTGCCAATATTTTATGTCAATTAATGTCTGCAAATTTTCAGTGTACAGAATATTTGATATATATCGTTGTAATTTAAAGAATGTTAATATAGTTTGTGGGAAATTAAAAATTTTGTTATGAAATTACTCTTGTAATTTTGATTTTTTTTTTTACTTTAGTCTAATGTAGTTATTTTTTACGACCTCAGCTTAAAATATTTTTTTCCCTCTTTTAGCCTAATATTTTTTTACCCTTTTAGCTTAATGTTTTTTTTTTTTCACTTTCAGCCTAATATTTTTTTCACTTTCAGCCTAATATTTTTTTCACTTTCAGCATAATATTTTTTCCCTTTCAGCTTAATATTTTTTTTCGCTTTCAGCCTAATATTTTTTTTCACTTTGAGCCTAATATTTTTTTCACTTTCAGCCTAATATTTTTTTTCCCTTTCAGCCTAATATTTTTTCCCTTTCAGCCTAATATTTTTTTTGCCTTTCAGCCTAATATTTTTTTATCTTTCAGCCTAATAGTTTTTCCCTTTCAGCCGAATTTTTTTTCCCTTTCAGTCAATTTTTTTTCTTTCAGCCTAATGCTTTTTTCTCTTTCAGGCTAATATCTTTTTTTCTCTTTCAGGCTAATATCTTTTTTTCTCTTTCAGGCTAATATATTTTTTTCTCTTTCAGCCTAATATTTTTTTTTTCTTTCAGCCTAATATTTTTCTTTCTCTTTCAGCCTAATAGTTTTTTCTCTCCCACCCTAATGTTCATTTTTAAGCATAACATTTTTTTTAATAGATTTTATAATTAGTTAAAAATAGTCTCAAAATTTCTTAGTGCTTTACAGTGACAATCATTATTAATAAAAGTATTATTATAATTATATTGCAATCTATCATAATTTTTTAAATAATTATCCATAATAATTATCAAATAATCGTATAGTAACATCGACACCATGCCTAACCCTTCTAGGGCAGGGTAGGTGCCTGAGTCCGAGCCTTTACCTCATAAGACTGTCATTCCCATTAGCCCCCTTGGGGCGGGGATGGCAGACCAGAGAGGCCTAGCTTGTGGCTAGGCCTGGGGGCAGTTGATCCCAAAGATGAGGAGGTACTTGTGCCTCCTCCCATGGGAGACTTAGGTCTCAGACACTCCCTAGAGAGGGAGCCAAGGCCGGGCCACCACTTGGAAAAGGCCCGGGCCGGGAGAATACCGGCGAATATTTAATAATAAAATAACATATAGAAAGATTAACTTTGTTTTTGTCAAGATTAAACGTTGATTTTTTTACTGTTAATAGCTTTTTTAGTGTTATTGATAATGTACAAGAGTCATAAAGTTTTGTGTGTACCTACTAGAAGAGTGCTGTACTGATGTACATGTGTGTACTGATGTACAGGTGTGTACTGATGTACAGGTGTGTACAAGATGGTAATCATGGAGAGATAAAGGAACTGTACTGATGTACAAGTGTGTACAAGTTAACGAATAATGGTAATGAAGAGATAAAGGAGCTGTACTGGTGTACAGTTGTGGACAAGTTGAATGATGGTAATCAGGGAGATAAAGGTGCTGTACTTATGTACAGGTGTGTACAGGTGTTATGATGGTAATCATGGAAATAAATGTGCTGTGCAGATGTACAGGTGTGTACAAGTGTTATGATGGTAATCATGGAGATAAAGGTGCTGTACAGGTGTGTACAAGTGTAATGGTGGTAGTCATGGAGATAAAGGAGCTGTACTCATGTACAGGTGTGTACACGATGGTAATCATAGAGAAAGGTGCTGTACTGATGTACAGTTGTGTACAAGTTGATGAATGATGGTAATCATGGATAGAGGTGCTGTACTGATGTACAGGAGTGTACAAGTTGATAATTATGGAGAGATAAAGGTGTTTACTGATGTTTCAATTGTGTTTCAAGTAGGAAGAAGGTAATTTATGGAGATAGAGGTGCTGTACTGATGTAGAGTTGTGTACAAGTTGAAAGTAATGGAGATAAGGGAGCTGTACTGAAGTACAGTTGTGTAAAATTTGAAAGTAATGGAGATAAGGGAGCTGTACTGATGTACAGTTGTGTAGAAGTCGAAAAGTAATTATAGAGATAAGGGAGCTGGACTGATGTTTCAGTTGTTGTACAAATTTGAAATAATGGAGATAAGGGAGCTGTACTGATTATTTTGTGTGTACAGTTGAAGTAATTGGAGATAAGGGAGCTGTACTGAAGTACAGTTGTGTACAATTTGAAATAATGGAGATAAGGGAGTGTACTGATATAACAATTGGAAAAAGTTGAAAGTAATGGAGATAAGGGAGCTGTACTGATGTACAGTTGTGTAGAAGTCGAAAGTAATCATAGAGATAGAGGGGCTGTACTGATGTACAGTTGTGTACAAGTTTAATGAGGGTAACATGGAGAGAAAAAGGTGCTGTACTAATGTACAGTTGTGTATAAGTAGAGGAATAATGGTAAGGGAAAGGATAGAGGGGCTGTATGATGTACAGGTTGATGAAGATGTATTTAGGGAGAAGGACCCTGTATGAGTAAGGTGTGTACATCAGTACATTATGTTTTTTGTGTAGCTAGGTTCACTAAAATTACCCATTTTTAGTGGTAGTCGGGGCTACATAAAAAGGGCCTCAATTTTTAGGGTAGTCTTGGTACCCCTAAAAATTAGCTCACTAAAAAACCCTATTTTAGGCGGTAGTTTGCTGCAGTTAAAATACCCGCACAATAAGGGGGATTCCCCAACAGCCCCTGGCAGTCTCAAGCTGGCACTGGACAAACCTAAAGTCAGTTCCTGATCGCCGGGCTGTGGCTTACTTTTGGGTTTGCGTGCAGCCAGCAGCAAAAAGCTGTTGATGGGCCCGCTGATCCACCAGGGAGGCCTGGTCACAGACGGCCGCGGGGGTTGACCCGAACTCTCTCCAGGTAAACTCCAGGTAAACCAAAGTACTCAAACAAGTAATTAGTTTTACTTGTTTGGTTCATGGTTTAGGGTTCCATAAATGAAGGCTTGCCTTTGGACGAGTAACCCTGGCCTGGCCTGGCCTGGCCTGGCCTGGCCTGGCCTGGCCTGGCCTGGCCCCTTGTCGTAGACCTCATCATGGTGGGTCAGTGAACATTAAAGAGAATTTTTAATTCACTACAAATTAATCCAGTATATTTAGGAACAAAACGTATTAATATTTATTTCTATTAAGTTTTTGCTTTGGTTAAACAATAGCTGGATTAAGAAATTCTGTTTCATGGCCAACGTACGACATTTACCTTCATATATGTTATATCCTTTGTACCAAATTCCATGATGGTGGTGTGTCAAGCATCACTCATGTGTAACACTTGGATATCTTTTTTTGATATGATGTTTCGCCCGTGTAGCAAGCTTTAGATTCGAAGGAGCATGTTAAGTAGGTGAAATGTCTCTCTAAAAAAAGCTACCCAGCTGTTGCACACGCCTCATCACATGCTATTGATGTGTTATTTACATTTATCTGTTGAGTACATTTATATTTTTTACTACTGTTTATTAAATCCATTTTAAAGCATTTTGTTAAATACTAATTATTATTATAATCAAGGGGAAGCGCTAAACCCGGAGGATTATACAGCGCCTGGGGGGGGGGGGATGTGGAAGGCATTCAGGCTTAATTCGGGGAACTGGAGCACAGATCCAATTCCCTAAATCAAGTTAGTTAGTTAAAGATTCGCCGGTATTCTCCCGGCCCGGGCCTTGTCCAAGTGGTGGCCCGGCCTTGGCTCCCTCTTTAGGGAGTGTCTGAGACCTAAGTCTCCCGTGGGAGGAGGCACAAGTACCTCCTCATCTTTGGGACCAGCTGTCCCCAGGCCTAGCCACAAGCTAGGCCTCTCTGGTCTGCCATCCCCGCCCCAAGGAGGCTAATGGGAATGACAGTCTTATGAGCTAAAAGCTCGGACTCAGGCACCTACCCTACCCTAGAATGGTTAGGCATGGTGTCGATGCCTAAATCAAGAGCCCCTCACCGACATCAAGGAACCTTCCTTGAGGGGTTAAATACTAATCAGGTTTCTACCAAGTAAAACAACTCATTTAAAGAATTTATTGAAAATATTATATAATGTTTTACGAAGTTTTTTATTTTATACATGTGTAATTATATAGTATTCTGAGGGATTTTGTTTTTCGAAGAATTTGACATGACATCCATAAACTTCAATAGTTAATTTAAAAGTTTGAGAAATTTATTAAATACAGTATTTAAGAAACTGCTATAATTCTGTTTCCCATAATCATTTTTATGAACATTTGGCCACCTTATGTCAATACTTGTGACCAGTTTCAGAAGATTTCCTACTCGTGTGGCCTGGGCCAGGTCTCCCTGTTGGATTGCCTGGTCGACCAGGCTGTTGCTGTTGGCGGCCCTCCGGTTCATGCATGCATCACAGCCT